ACCGTAAGCGTCGGGTTTCTGTGCCCTCTCATACGGCGTGCTCTTCCGCATATCCAGCCTCTCTTGCGCGCTGTGTTTCTCCGCCGTACACCGGCCGATCTTACAGAAGGTTTAAGCCCGTAGTTTGGTGTTCTTCATAGTTCCTCTCGTTTCCTTTTTACTTCCTGTCCACTCCACCTCCGTGTTCACGTTGAGCGTTCTTACACACCAACTATATCCCAAACCATGCCTGTAAAAGGTGCTATTTTTCCTCAAGGTTACATTGCAGAAAGGCTGTCTGTGCCAATTCATCGTTACCTACTTCACCAGAAGCCGAAGATGTTGACTGCGAGGAAGATATTGTTGATCTATGCCGACGGCTCGACACCCAGCTCGAAGAAAAGGCAAAGATGCATAACTTGAATGCTTTGAATGTCAAGTCAATCCTCCATGTGTGTTTCTTTTTTGCTTGTCACATAACTTCCAATTTCTTATTAACTAATGGTTATTACATTCAAGCGTCTTATCAAAGATCCTCATGTTTTATCTACGTTAATGGGTATAAAAGGCGATACGGACGGAATCCCCAGTCTAAAAGTGACTCGTTCTAAAGTGAAGCACACCGCAGAACCGGCTAAGGTAAGCCTCTTTCCTTGCTAGAGTTAACTCAATGGTTTAGTAACTCCATCGTTTCATTTTTTCTGTAGAATTGCTTCCTAGGAAGACCACCCATGCTTTTAAGGTGGAACTGAAACCTGTTCCTCCACCAAGGACATTTCTCGACGTACAGTTCGAAAACGAGGACGAAGATGAAGATTACAGACCTGAGGATGCACAGGTGTCGTCATCTTTCCATTTTGATACTCTTATTTTCATCACTCAGTTCCAATTTTTTTGCATTACACTCTTTCTGATCGTTCGAAAGTTATAATGTATTTTGTCCAATGGTATGCTTTGATTGTCCATTCTAGGACAATTTTTAATTTGGCTGTCTTTGCCATACGGAAGCAATTTTCTTCTCACTTTGTTTTTCTTCGCTCTTCTTAGTTATCTTCTTAGTTATTTTGTCCTATTAGGCTGTTGCAAAATGCTTGCAGCTGCATGGATCCCCATAGAGGACCGTAAGCTCTTCTCCCCATAGAGGACATGCATACGTTCCATGCAGCTTCCGGAAGATCCCTATCCCTTTTCTTGTTCTTCTCAACCGGCAACCGGGATTGTCTTGAGAAATGGCGTATTTGTGTTGTGTGTGTGGGGTCAGTAAATGTGTTTCAGGGCCGGTAATGGGATTACGCTGTCCGCCTCTCTTTAATTTATCTTTGGCAATAATAATGTTTCATTCATTTGATCACATTTAGCTAAGTCCAGGAAAATTTTTGAGGTAGTGCGCCAATAATGGTTGGAACCTGTGTTTTGATGTTTAGGCGAGTACTTATTACTTGATTATGTTAGCGAGCAGGCATCATAACCGACTGCTAAGGCTTCGTTTGGATGGCTTCATTATTTTGGCTTGCTTGGTGTCGATAATTGGTCGTTCTTGTGCTTCAGCGAATAACGAACAACGCACTCGGCATTAGCTTCTTTCCGCGCTGCGCTATCCATCTTACTTCCATTCATTATCTTAGTGACATTTGAATGCGATTTTGTCAGTAACTTAGGAGAACCAGCCCATGGACAAATCAGTTTTTTTTATCCCCACAAAAGTTCTCCTCCAGGAAAGGATGGGTCGAAATTGTCATATGCAATGAGACCTAGTATACTGTTGGTTGTGTTTTTGGACGTCAACCTCAAATCTGCTTCCAAATCTGCCAATCGATTTCTAAACGGGGTTATGCAGCAAAATAGAGCAGCGGTAGGCCGATGCAGACTTTGCGAATCGCGTGAATCGGCCGTAGTAGGATCGATTCCCTGACGAGTTCTTCCTTTTGCCTTCGCGGCAACATGTTTGGAAAAGAGTCTCAACTACGTTATTTGACCAACGCTTTCCTATGATTACCTGTACAACGAGCTCTTTTGCAAGAAAGTCCTGGGAATTCGGCCGCTATTTGCTAACGACACCGCATGGAGCCCGTAGAACTCTCACAACGTTTTTGCAATCCCATTGAACAAAGTTGTAGCCAAATCACCCGTAGGGAATTGATCCTACAACCTCTCACGCGTGAGCCCTGCCTACTACCGCTGCTCTATTTTGCTTCATAGCTGCTCAAATCGAACAGTATAGGTCTAATTGCATATGGTCACTTCGACCTATCATACTGTTCTGGTTACCAAGTAACTGACTTTGGAGGGATTGAAGGCTCGGTGGGCGTGCCTGGCGCACGGTTCAGAGTTCAATTTTTGAAACACAGGCGTGGTAGGTGGCGCCACTTCCCACTACACATACCTCTTCCACTTTTATGAATACAACTTTATTTCCTCATGTAAACTTTATTATCACAAGTGAAGGTTAGCTTCCTATTCTGTTTTCTGGACCTGTTCAGGCATATTTCTAGACTTCTTGACTCTTGCATTGCGTCATTTTTTCTTCCGTCTTGCAATATTTCCATTTCTTCTGTATCTTCCCTGCCTGTTATTCGACATTGCCCTATACATATACTGTATACGATCCTATACTGTTCTTGATTCCACTTTTTTTATTGACCAAATCCTTCAGCTCCCTTTGCTTATGTCTTTGTCTTCCTGAAAACCCCCACCCCCTTTCCCTTTCACGACTCCTAATCAT